GTCTGTCCCGCACTCTTGAGATACTCTCGATGGACATCTGTTGCCTTTCCAAAAACAGGTTGCAAGAGGCCAGTACCTTTTCAGAATGACATCTCCGGAAAACCTTGACGTCAAATTCCAGTTGCGCCTTTCCGGAGACACAGACGCCGCCGCTTATGGCTAAGCTGGTGTCGGGATCGCACTGAGTGACAAGGCTGAAGTCACTTTGCTTGACTGAATCCCAGTCAACAGTCAGCTATGTGCAGTCAGACTACAAAATTCATGTAAGTTCAGTAAGCGTCGAGAGGTCACGCTTGCGTTGTTTGTCATCGCCGCCGACGCTCCTACAGACTTCAGTCCTGATGCAGTCAAGGATTACTTTCACCAACAGCCACATGAGCTACAGCGTTCCTCTAAAATTTCTGACATTGTCATTCTTGCCGGAGATTTTAATGCACGAGTGGGCCGCCTGCCACCAAGCGAGCGCCATCTTGGGGTAGTTTTGGTCTCCGTAGCCGCCGATCAGACAACGGAGGGAAATTACTGACACTTTGTTCTGATCATTGCTTGTTTCTTTCGAGTACAAGCTATTGTCATTCAAGAAGACAGACGGCTACCCTGCGTCCGTCTTCTCATACACAAGAATGGTCCTAGCTTGACCACATACCAATAAGCTACAGATGGCACGAAAGCTTAACAAACTGCTGATCGTACTGATCAAGTTATCTAGACTTCGATCACGTATTAGTTGGCGCCAAAATTTGCATGCATTTCGGAGGATCATCCAGACGTACGCATTACCGACGGAACGTCGAAAATTTGCAACAGCTTGCTACGTTAACCAAGTACCAGGCTTTTCTGGCAACACTACTTGCTTCCTCCTCTTATGATGGTCTCATTTCGCAATGGATGCACATCAAAGAAGCTTTAATTTCTGCTAGTACTGTCAGTTGTGGATTTGCTTGTCACCCGCTGAAAGCTGGATCACCACTGCCTCCTTGTCGCTTATGGACAAAAGCTGCTTCATCCCAGCCAATACCAGCTGTAGTAAAGAACGCCGATCCCTTGGTCGAGCGTTACGTAAGAGCTTAGAGAAAGACCATGAGACCTGGTGGTGTAAACATGCTAGAGAGCTTGAACTTACTAATCTCTCTGGCAATACCGGAAAACTGGTCCACCTCATCCGAGTCACCGAAAGCTTCCGAGCTGGAGTAAGCGAAACAATTTGCGAAGATGATGGCTCCCTAATCACTAATCTTCAACGACGGTTGGAGCGATGGGCCGAACATTTTCGTTCGATGTTTTCCTGGCCGCCAGCTCCATTTGTTTCTCTTGGGGCGAGCACTGGTGGTGAGTGGACTATCCAAACTGATACTTCCTCTCACCAGGAAATTTGGCGGGAACTCTGCTGCCTAAATTGTTATAACGCACCCGGCCCTGATGGTCTGCCTCCTGCTCTATTTAAAGATGGGGCCCATCAATGGTTCGAGAACTCGCCGCTTTGTTCTCAGAAGTCTGGGCAAATGTGGAGGTCCCATCATCCTTGAGCGAGTCGATAGTCTTCCTCATCTTAAAAAGGGGCAGGCGCACAAATTGCTCCAAGTACAGGGGCATGAGTTTGGTTCCCTCTTTTGCAAGATGCTGGTGTTCATCATTCTTCGCGGACTATCTCCACCACAGCGAGGAAAACAGGCTGCGTTCCGCCCTGGTCGCGGCTGCATCGATCAGTGTTACACACTCCGCCAGATTCTGGAGCTCCGCCATGTGTATTCAAAGCCAAGGATTGTTGTGTTCTTGGATATCCGCGTTGCCTTCGATTCTGTCGACAGGGCTGCATTGTCCGTTGAGGAATGTTACTTCCAGCATGTTCGTTGCCATTCTGCTTGTTCTGTATACTCCGATCTCCGGTAGAGTTAGGGCTTATGGCGCGGTTTCACCCTCCTTTGTTGTCACCAGTGGGGTTCGACAAGGATGCCCTGTCTCTCCATTCTTGTTCAACTTTGCCAATGAGTATATCCTTAAATATGCTCTGGAAGACTTGAATACTAGCGCTGAGCTCCTCTCAGATAGTCAGGTGGCTGATTTGGATTACGCTAATGATATCGTTGTGTTGAGTGACGGTCCGCACGCCGTCCAACGCGCACTTAACCGCTTGGCGATTGAAGTGCTGAAGTATGGCATGCACTTTTTACTATGCAAGTACAAAGCGCTTTTTCAGGACTGGTATATGTCCCTACCTGTACTAACCATCGATGGGGAAACGTTAGAAGTAGTAGAAACTTTGGTCTACCTGGAAAGCTGTATAACTGCTGGTGAGGGTTTTGGAAAGGAGGTTTGGTTGTGTATCTCAAGAGCTCGTCTCGCCTTCGCCAGAATGACATTTATCGCGCCGTCATGACATCTGTCTCTTCATCAAAAGACGGGTTTACAGTGCCATTGTCCGCGCTGTACTATTGTACGGTTGCGAGAATCCGCCTGCTCATATCAATGACCTAGGTCGACTGTCTGTCATCGACAACCGTTGCTTGCAGTCCATCGCCCGTGTGTAGTAGCTGGACCACGGAACCAACTTCGAAAGCAGACAGCGGGTCTTGGGTGGAGTCAGCCACTCCCTCTAGGCGCTTGTCTCGCTGCGCCAACTACGATGGCTTGGACACGTACTGTGTATGCCCCTTCACAGTCTTCTGCGTTGTGCTTTGTTTTCGGTTGCTGGAGAGGGCTGGAGGAGGCGGTGTGATGGACAGCATACAAATTGGAGAAGCTGGATGAAAAAGCTGACAAAACAACTGGCCACGGTTGGTTCCTCCCGACTTCCTGGATGGGGTTCCAAGAATGCGGATTGCAGTTGGTTGCAAAACTTGGAAGTCATGGCTGGAAACCGAACTCAACGGCAAGCGTGTATCTCTGCTTGTTGCGGTGATTCCCCTTCCCTACCCTGATCAAAAACGTCAAAAAACGCAAAAACTGTGAGTGGAAAAAATGGGCAACCAATTGTTTGTTGTCTTTTACTCTAATCCTGTTTTCCTATTCCGCTATGGCCCCGATGACACAAGAGCTGTACACAGATATATATATATATATATATATATATATATATATATATATATATATATATATATATATATATATATATATATATATATATATATATATATATATATATACACTGTCTGATGCCTTTCCAGACTAGCCTAAGCCTGCTGATTGGGAGTGGCAATGATGAATTAGATGATTTATACCAAAATCCCCACTACTACTCACCAGATACACAATTATATTGATTAATGGCACCCGCTAATTTAAAGTTTGTTTCGTAGGGCCATACAGTTTTGTTTAGATTACTGTCATCCGCAAGTTCCTGGCTCAGGATGTTTTCGGGAAATTGTAAAGGACGATCCGAGACATCTTCCCATAAACCATGTATCAATGGGGCGGTGTACAACTTTGGTCTGGCGCGATTATTCAGGGGCCCTAATCAGCAATGCTTAATACCAAGTTCATATGAGACCCTGTGTTTCGCTTTCTGTGAGCTTTGAGCGAATGCCTGAGCAATTACGAATTCACTTTTTCTTTAGGGTCACAGTAATTGGTCGACCACTTCTCGGTGCGTTGTGGGTACGCCCTGTACTTTCAAATTTGTCACGTAGTCGATACAGTGTGAGCCTTGTTGGGGATGCTGCAAAGGTTTCAATCCACTGTTCACTCACACATTCAATATTTTCTGTCTGTCAGTATCGTTTTAAAATCCACTTGCGCTGTTCGTCAATCAAATTACCCGCCATGGTTTAATTATCATTTTAACTGAATTAAAGCACCTAAAAAAGGAAATGACTAAAAGTACGTCACTAATTTCACTGATGTTACACTACTGTATACCTACTTTTGCACCCCCTGTATGCACGGAAGGTCCCTGTATATCGCTCAACTATTTAGGCAAATAATTCATTCAGTGATCTGCTGTCTGCTGTAAAATCGTAGAAAAGGAGTGTTTTTGTACCATTATTTTTCGATTCTACTTTCAGTGATATTTTGTCGACGGCCCTGATCAGCATTTGTAACCCAACACTGAAGGTTGATCAATCCACTGTGACACAAAAAGTTGTAACCATTGTGTTTTAGCAGTCTAATTATCGCTATCCAGTCGTGTAAATAAAACCGTCCTTCTGACTTAGCTTCCTTATCCGATTTGACCGTAACCACATTCACCCGACCATCTGGGACAGGCGCATCGACAGTGAAACGGAGATGGGTAACCTCAACTTATGGAGCATGTGGAACATACTTATCTCAATTGAATTGAAATGTACAATGTTATGCTACACATACACCGGCATCAGAAAGTGGTTCAGGTTTCGTGACCAGTATCAGAGTTAACGGGTAGGAGTAGCAAGATAGGTTAAACCTGGTGTACAGGAAACACCACCTCCCATCGAGAGCCGTAAGAATGGACGCCCCAAAAGAGCTTAGTTTCGATGTGCCTTGCATGCCATTACCTCGTAGATTGGAGTATACTAAAGAATGTCATTTTACTCAGATTGCCGTATGATTATGTGCACAGTTACGACAGGCTTAACGAATAAATCCGAAGCAAAACTAGGGTGAATTATCTGTGGAAATTAAGGTGAAAGAAGTCTGTTAGCCTAGTGACCGAACTAGTAACAACGAATGCTGTCTACGAGACTTCGTGTTTACTTGAGTGGCTGCTTGAACGCGCCACCATTACCAAATCAGCTAGTTCAGAAAACACCTATACGTGCAATTTCCCGAGAGGGCCATCGCCAGATTTGCGTTGTATGACCTCATTATTTCTTCATCAAGTGAAACTGGTGCAACCTAGCTAAAACGGAGGTGTATATGAGCAATCAGCTGCTGCAGAGATAAACAGGTGCTCAGTGGAGCATGTCGCGGTTTGAAATGACTACGAAGCTGACACAAGCAGCAAAACAAGCACGTAATCTAGAATATTGTAAACCAAAGAGGCGATCTGGCCAAACAGCCACCGCCTGTACTAGTTCACTTACTCGAATTTATGCGGCTGGGGCAGATGGAGCCATACAGGAGGAACGAAAAAGAGAATAGGCTCGAATTTGTCCGTTCCAGCCTGGGGACAAGCAGAAATGCTATTTTAGAACAGATAAAACTGGTAACCAGTGGTGACTGAGTAGTTTTGTGCATTAGGGGCAACAAAATTCGGAGAATATGACGGTACTGAAGCGAACCATTGGACCTGGGTCACGCCTGAGACACGTAACGGAGTTTGCAATATATTTAGTTACTGAGCAATAAAAAGTAGTTAGTATTTCAGCATAAGTTGCATATTCGACTGCCAATAGGCATTGCCCCGGGGAAACTCGAGAATTGACAAACAACATGGTTGGTGGCACCCTGCTTCGGATTTGCCTGTCACTGTTGCCAGTCACAGGACGTCTGCGCCTACAGAGGGACCATGAGTGGCTTGCGCTGCACCATCCACAGCTCCATCTACACACCCCATATCCAGCGTAAACCAGAAGGAATAAGACCGGGAGGCACGTGGATGGGAGCTATGTTTCATCAACGGAGCCGGCCAACACTCCTTCACAGGCAAACACAAGCACGCTGTATTTGGGGAATCAAATACACACAAGGCGGTGGCTGGACCATATTCCCCTCTACACTGAATGCATGGAACCGCTCTTTGAGCCTAGCACGGCCACAAGGACCTTGCACTCCGTCCCCTTCAGCAACGACCACCTGCCTCCTGGAACCAGTATGGAGGAGGCAGGGGATAATAGACAGGCAAGCATCTTGTCAACATGCATATCAAACGCAGCCACACCGTGGATGTCAAACAACAGCCAATCACTGGAAATGACATTATCAAATAAAATATATCTGTTAATGCATACGACTATCCTGGCATAACTCTTCGCTAAATTAGCATATAAAGTATGTTGGCTAGCAACGAATACGCGATAAGTACAAAAAGTTCACAAGTTACTTAAAAATGTTGCAAACGCAATAAAGGTAACGAAGATAACAACAATTAGCGTAAGCAACGAGTGCAAGTAAATGGAAGATTATTTCGGTAGACAGAACAAACCAAATAAGGTGAAATGAAATGTATCCAGCTTACAAAGACCTAGTTTAAGTGTAAGTTGCTTTAGCCTAACTGCGATTAAGAAGCTTGAGGCACAACGAACACCGTATGAAGATGAATCAAAACTTAAAGCTACCCCTTTTTAAATAACATTTTATTTGAAGCGTATGATTAGTTTAGTTAGTTCAGCCACACCGCGTTTTTATTGGTTTTCCTCGCATTGACCAATCAATAGTTCCTCACTCATGCTTTAACTCCTGCTTCATGTGAGCCATGTCGCACTGCATCGCCCGATGGAGTTTGTTTCGCACTGCGTCTTGTTCTTGCCTAACTGCGGTCTGGGAGCGTGCATTTTTCTGAATTCGTTACTACGTATGACGATGGTGGTGGGATCCAGATGAACCCTATCATTAAACCATCTGATATGTGAGGTGAGATCCTGGTTAGAAATGGTAAGTTCCGTATGAAACATCTGTGTTATGGCGATTACTGCCCACGTTCACCCTAAGAAACCGCTCCAATTGTTTACCGAATCATCTGGCCTTACGTGCAAAAGGGAAAGAGCCGACGCATAAGCCATTTGACTGGCACAAACCTCTGAGATCAACTGATTTCATCCGCAGGTATTCCCCGTCGACGAATCCCTTCGGCTACAGTTGACTCGTTCATCCACATTCGATTCTCAAAGGGTAGTGAGCGAGTAGCCCTTCACACCTTCATGCTGAACGTGGGCTCAGCGGATGTCATTACTCCGTGAATACAAGCGAAAGAAGTGACATGACTATTTTCAAGGTGCTGGTGTTACCAGTGACAGAAATACGATCAAGCGAAATGCCTTCATTCGGTCTGATTGTGAACACGCGTATTTCACAAACCACCAGGACATTAGAATATGAGATGTAGTTAAGCCCTTTAGACCCTCTCGAGAGAGTAGCTTTCTGTTAACGGTAACACAAATTACATGGGAGCTCAACGTTACGGCAGCTGCAGTAAGCAATCGCTGCCTGATGTTTTGGGTAGGCGAACGGTTGCAACTCAGTAGAGCTTCATGGAAATATCCGTACTGAGTACTGTGAAAAGGCCAGACACACAGCTTATGGAAATTTAAATGCGCTATCGTCTGGCGAGGAGAATAGCATGGCCTTCTCTGCACAACAGCAGACAAATGTGCGTTACGGAAACTGAATGTGTGCCTTGGTAATCAAAAACAGCAATGAATAAGTAATGATAGACAGAAGACCTTTATACACATAATAAATATTGCTGTAATTTTAACATCTAGTTGCGTGGAATGTGTGTGCAAAATAGGGATTTCTATCTGTCAAAAGTTTTCAGGTATACATCTTTAGTTACTGCCTGCTACTAAGTTTCAAGTCAACTTGGTACTCTTCTTGTCCCTCTTTTAGTTGACCGACTGCGCTGTAATCTGGTTAGACGCAGTTCGGCCTGTGCGGAGGCCAGTTCAATCTTCAATGCATACACCAATTTAATAAGACTAATGTTCAATAAATATAAGCTATTATGATGCCGATCCGCTTTGTCATAGTTGTAAAGGTTCTGCGACTGGCAACCATTCTGCAAATCCACCTTTATATCTTTCGAACGAATGTCACCTTCCTCCACTTGGAGAACCGAAGCGTCTATATTAACGAAATTGGCCTCGATATCCTCTGTTTGCGTAATTTCATCAACCCCGGGGTTGTTCTGAAGACGAACAACTTTGTCCACATCATCCAACTCTGCCTATAGACAAAGGGGAGTAAACATGGATTTTTTAGGTACAGGTCAGTATATTCAACGAATTAGAAGAGACGGCGTATGCAAATGTTCTTAGATGATAGAGTTCGTTTTGATCGTTAATAAGCGGCGCAATAAAGCACCGGCTGAATCTACACATACATATACGGAACACGTTTATGGCTACGGCTAAAAGTCGAAAAGTGTGATACAATTACTTCAGACCCGATCGAAAGCGCTGCTGCTCTGTATGGAAAATGTTTCATTTCATTTCCGAAACACGGCGTATCGTCCAATTGATGGGCAGCCCATTAAAACCTATACCTGCGGGTTTCTTTGTGCTGAAAGTAGAACGAAGCTCATCCGAAGAAACAGATCAAGTATCATGTTAAAAATGCTATGGGGAAGATATCTTAGCAATTTATTCATCAGCAAAGCAGAGCATACTGTTGGTGATAAGTCTGAATGCTGCGTACGCCGACTTGTGAGTGTCATGCGAGGCTGAGCGGCAGAATTGCCACCCATATTTGGATGTTCTCATCAGCCGCAGAAAAGCGACAGATTAAGAGGTCCAAGCACAGAAAACAAACGTGGTCCGACCAGTATCTGCATTTCGCCAGCTTTCCACAAATGCGGTACAAGCGGATGATTGTGAAGACATTATTGGATCTTGCCAGGCGAATAAGTTCGACCGATTATCTGGCGGACGAATTATAATGGATTACCAATACACTTATTGGAAATGGTTACCTTCAAAAGTTCATCGAGAAGCACAACCGCATCAATCGACTGAAAGATTGTGTCACCATGCTGCATTTCAACGTCACCAAGTGCAGAGTTCTCAGTATACGGCACAAGAGTATGCACAACTATCGCCTAGGACCACAAATTCTACAGCGGGCTTTTCAAGAATGCGATCTCGGAGTGATAGTTCAAGATGACCTCAGTTGTTTGAAGCAGACTGAAAAGGTAGCTAAGAAAGCGAACCAGTACCTCGGTCTTCTTCGCAGAGCCTTCGGGAAGTTTGACCCTTCGATCTTACCAAAAATGCTTAAGGCGTACGTGAGGCCGCACGCGGAATACGCTATCCAAACGTGGCAACCCTGGCTCAAGCACCATCTCACCGCGCTCGATACTGCACAACGTAGGGCAACGAAGAGCGTCAGAGGTTTGACCAGCCTCCCCTACCCACTCAGGCTGAAGACTCTCAAAATATACAGTGGACGTTATCGGCGTCTAAGGGGCGATCTCATAATGGTGTACCAGATCCTGAGAAACCCCAACCACCCATGTCATCCCCTTTAACACTCAGTCAATACACCTCGCTAAGAGGTCACCAGTTTAAGTTAGTCACGCAGTACAGCCGGCTGGAATGTCGGCGAAACTATTTCTCCCTTCGAGTGGCACAGCCTTGGAACGCCCTACCGGAACATGTAATTAATGCACCCACCCTATCCCTTTTCCAAGAAACGCCTTGACGATACTCTGTCACATTTACACTACGTGCTATAGCTCATGACCACCAGATGCTGGCACTAATGCACAACAGACAGGGGATAGTGCCATAACCCTACTTGGGTATGAATCATTCCAAACGCATTACACGAAATTAGATAAACGCTGTCACTATAGAAACTGGATTTCTGTATCCTGTCGACCCAAGATAGTTGCACACGAGTAAGCTTTTTCCTTGCTATCATTTTTTTTATTTTTCTCGCCTATGATGTGAACAATAACCACTCCGCTGTTGCTTTGTGTGCGTACATTCTCATTTCAAACTCCCTTTATACCACAGTGCAGTTACATCTGTAAGCGCCTGAACTGACGACTCCATTATCCCTTCGCTATCTTTTTTTGTCACGCTAAACACCCTACGGGACATGTCAAGCACCTGCTTTTTTGCCCGTTATAAACAATGTTCATTGTAACCCGAACACAGACTTAGACCTGACCTTTAAGAGTGACAGTGCTACACTTAGAACTACAAGGCGTCTGATTTCTGCCACGCAGAGCACCTTCTGTACTGCCGAAGTCAACATCATCGACCGAACCCAAAGGCTATTGTTGCTTCCACTGAAGCTGACAATCCATCGGTGCCAACTCTCACTGCGTACACTAATTCGTATGTAACTGCGGAGCTAGGTACATGGGCAGAATCAGTAGGACCTGGATGGAGGAGAACGTACTAAAGTGGACCCAACACGCGATGACGCAACAAACATGCCCCGCCCACGCTACGCGTTAGCGTAGACCACCTGCATCCTTGAGCGGCAGACAGTTATTGGCCTCAGGTCACCAGATTGAGTTCTGCACCTCATTAAATCTCCTGTTGTAGCACATCAATTCCTGTCTCTTTAGTTTCAACGAGACTATTGTGATAATCGGACCAAACCGATGCAATGTAAACAGAATAACTATCGGCCAGCAACAAGTTGCGCTCAACGTAAGGACAAGAGTTCTTTCTTTCCTTTCTTTTCTTTTTCAGTTTGTTTGTACCAGATGGCAATTTTATTTCATTCCGACTTATTGTAATCGGAATGAAAAGATGATACCAAATACATGCATATCGACTGATGCAATGGAATGGAAAAAATGAGGAAATGGCTATAGCATTGAACACTGGTAGCTCAGGTTGTTCCGATGGCGGTTGAATTGTTCGTTGAGCTTGACAATTTTGCTGCAAACGCTTCGTCATCAAACGAAGTGACATCACCAGTGCGTAGTGCAGTGGTGTGCAGTAGCGTAGAGTAGAGTAGAGGAGGGTTGGTCAGAGTGCGCTCAGCGTGGTGCGCCTGTGTTTTATACCGCCGTGGTTGCCCCATCATATAAACTAGCGAAGGATTTGTGGAGGACGTTGAAACATTTGATTACTAGAGCTGACCATAGCATCAATAATGCTGAACAATTCCTCGACAAACTGCGGAGTGTCAGAATAGAAAACGACGAAATAATGCTTTCATTCGATGTCACCGCACTCTTCACTGCAATCGGCCACGAATTGGCCAAAGAAACCATGATGGAAGTACTTGAGAATCAACTGAGCCAAACGACAAGCATACGACCTGAAAGTTGTTGGGAACTCCTGAGTCGCTGCATGACTATTTATTTCCGCTTTGATGGACAAGTGTACCAACAACTGAGAGGAACACCCATACAATCCCCAATTTCGGCGCTCATCGCAGAAGACAAAATGAAGAAATTGGAGCGCATCGTACTGCCATCGAACAGCCCAAAACTATGGGTACGATACATGGACAATACATTGGTCATCGTCAAAACGGAACAGAGTACAGGCCACGCACGATTTGCTCAGCAGCACATTCGAGGATATCGAATTTACGATTGAATTCGAGGAGAAGAATAAGTTACCACTTTTGGATGTACTGGTCACTAGGAATACCGACGGATCTCTACAAACGTGCGCACATCGGAAGAAAACGCATACGAACCAAATAGTAAACTACTACAGCAACCACCCGATGAATCACAAGAAAAGCTGCATTCAAACCCTGTTCAACAGAGCGGAAACGCACTGGAGCGCAGCCGAATCCCGGAAACAGGAGGAAAATCACCTACTTCGAGTGTTTAGAAACAACGGTTATCCGAGAAATTTCCTCAGAAGAAGCTTAAATAAACGTATGTCTCAGCAACAGCAGTTACCCGAGCAACCAAACAAACGGATAATGCTCCCCTACATCAAGAACGTCTCCAAACTAACAGGAAGATTGATGCGGTCACATGGAATCTCTGTGGCTCACAAGCCAAGTGTCACCCTAAGGAAATTGATCTCAAGACCCAAAGAAAATGTCAATCAAGCCGACCAATGCAAGGTCATCCACCAGAGAAATTCATTGACTGCGATAAAAACTATGTCGAAGAAAGTTGAGGAAAGCTTTGTACACCGATCACCGAACACAACGCGGCCGTCAGAAGGCATGATCCGCACTCATTGGTTTCTGCGCATGAGGATCGAGAAGGCCACCATTTCGATCTGGAGAATGCAAAGATCCTAGCATATGGAAGTAGAAAACACGCGAGGGAGTTTTTGGAAGCCTGGTACTCTACAACGAATTCAATCAATCGACATCGACCTGGACGCAGTATACGCAACACTACTGGCGAACGACCACCAACTCGATCGAGTGGAACGTGGGACTAGACGACCAGAACTGACGACAGACTCGCTCACAAGAGCAAGCAAACAAATACCACGAAGCACAAGTGGTCTTTGTCAAAGGTCATCTGCCCATCAACCAAGCTGAACGCGGATCGAAGTCCCAACCAATAGGATTGCTCGTCTCCACGGGCAACCACGGCGGTGTAAAAAGCACACGCCCATTATGCTCAGCGCACTCTCACCGAAGCTCCTCTACGCTACTGCACTGCACTCCACTACGCACTGATGATGTTACCTCGTTTGGTGACGAAAGGTTTGCAACAAAATCGCCAAGCTCAGGGAACAGTTTGACCGCCATTGAGGGGGTTGTTATACAAATAGCTGATAATAATAATCACCCTCGACGCCTTCACGGCTACATGCTGTGAGTCGTCATTATCGGCAGCTGTAGCATATCAGTATGCCACAGCAGTGGTTCCCTTCCAAACAGCCACAATGGCTCTACTTAGGAAGAATAATGATAGCGGAGAAGGTAGCATCAAAATTTGGATGCTTGAGGTAATTATTCATACACGTACACCACGCCAACAACAAAGTCGAAAACAGCTGCCTAATATGGGAAGTGGAAGCGTCAAGAATAAAGTTGTCTTCTCGGGACTTCAATACACCACGCCATAGCTAACTTTAGCCCACAGATAACTCAGGACCACACACTCTAAGCTGGAACATTGACAGTGGTACGACACTAAATGTGACATTGACTCCGGTCACGTGGACTCCAAACTGGAGGGTGAGGTGGGCCAACTGCACTCACTTTGGTTGTCAGTGAATTCACCTCTGTGCGAGATCAATCTTAGGACCTTAAATGCTGTTATAATTCGCTGAACCAAATATATATATATATATATATATATATATATATATATATATATATATATATATATATATATATATATAGACTCTAGCGAGACCCAGGATGTTCGATTACAGGGCGCATAAAGTGTTCACATGCAACTATGGAAGTATTGCTTCTTTCACACCATGGAAAAATGATTACCACTGAACTCACCTGAATACCGAAGCACTTCAACTGATGGGTGGCGAGTTCGATACGGTTCACCGATTGGCAGCACCCTGCGCAAACAACCGGCGCATATGCGCATTTCATCTGATGGGCGCCGGACTGAAAAACATCGACTCGCGCCACCACCGTACACCCTCGTGAGGCGTTTTCACAGTGAATAAGCAGTGAATTCACGAAGTTTCGCAACGACAATACGGGCCTTGATACATATTTAAGAACTGTCCTATCTGGCTCAGCATGTATGACTATCTGGGAGAATGAATGACGACAAGTTGGACATGCAATTTCCTTCATTGGAGGGCCTCCGGCCTGAGGTCGTTCTGGTGATGCGGCACGACACAATGTCTGCAACCACCTGCGTAGGCAACGTGAACAGAAGGTGTGACCACAGTCCGTGACTACCGGATTGAGGAAAACTCCCTGGCATATTCCACAAAGCAAATTATCATCCACGTGATTTATGAAGCGTTCCAAAGGTATACCCATGGTTAAGAACTAGTTAAAAGCTTTACTGTGTCTCTGAAAAGTCTCTATGCTACAGCAAGACATAGAAAGTATTGCATTATATGAACCGCCTTTGTAAACCAATGATCGCACCCCATAAAGTGGCTAATTTCAACCAATCGCATAGTGTTGGTGAATGTCAGTGGCGAGTTTTCTGGCCTGTCTCTAAAACTCTGCTACTGTAAGTATACACGCTTTCTTGGTTAGCGAATCCAGGTGTATAGGTAGTTGTACGAACTTTCTTTAGAAAATATGTCCACCATTGGACAGTTTCGCTTGCATCTGTCGGAACGGGAGTGTCAGCAGTTACCAGTGGCATGATCTGCGCACATTACTAAATTTTTGAAGAATAAGTTCCCACGAAGGAGGACCGGTTTCGTTGAATTCAGAACTCAGTGTCAATTACTTTAGGTAACAGATTCGTATGGGACTAAAACCAAAGAGAACATTCTCAGTGATTCATCAAGAACATCAGTCTGAGGCAAACAATTGTTTTCAATGATTCATCTACGAGCCGGTACAATCATATAAGGTTAAATTACAAAGGCATGGATAATGATTGGTTCGGGGGTTTGTTCTGAACTGACTCGGTCAATGGTTAGACAGGGAATAGTTCGCCGCTGTCTCATGCACACAGATCGATTGAGGGTTACCTAATCGCAATGCCTGATCCAATGTCGGGGTGACGGTTAGGCTGATGGTTGTTCGGCCAGGACAGATAGAGATTGAACAAACTTTTTCTACAAGCACAGCGGGGGTTGGAATATGCGGGTCGCAATGGCCTTTGCAGTGGCGAGCATCCTTAACTGCGTACCTTTCGATTTGCTCATTGGAACCTGATAAACCACAGTAAAAGCATTCGGGAGGTTAACCTGGTGACCAGATTCGAACAGATGAGACAAGATACCGCTTGTAAGTACTCCGGTGCCCGCGTTCAACAACCATTTAGGGCTATGTTCCTTAATGCGACGTGACAGTTGACGAGCCGTCCGACCAATGTATGTTGCCCCACAAGTGCACTCAAATCGGTAGGTAACGTGAGAAGAGGTCAGCTTCGGCAGTCTGTCCTTGTTGCACACAGGAATTAGCTGGTTCGTGGCGAAGAAGCATTGTAACTCCGCAGCCGGAAAGGTATTCCTTATCGATTGCGTCAGTTTCCTTGTTATCACCTTTAAAATCAAGGCGGATGAAAAGGGCGTATTGCGCGACTACGTCCTTAACGACCGGTGTTATTTTGGGCTGCATGTTGCGCTGAATGAATTTTTCTGGATAACCATTTTCACGCGAAGTGTTCTGGATGGATTTCATCTCATCATCCAGAGAGTCCTCTGAACATATTTTTCTCGCCCTTGAGGTGAGACAATGTACTAAGTTACGCTTGTATTTAAGCGGTACAAAACTACTGCAATTTGTATACTGACCGGTCCACGTCTTCTTTCTGTTGGTCTTACTTAATATGGAACCGTCAGTTCGTCTACTAAGGTGTACATCCAGAAATGAGAGTTGACCATCTTGTTCAAGTTCGTAGGTGAACTTAATCGCCGGGTGCGCACCATGCCTTTGTAATTTAACCTTATATGATTGTACCGGCCCGTAGATGAATCATTGAAAACAATTGTTTGCCTCAGACCGATGTTCTTGATAAAACCAAAGAGTGGAGTATATAGGTGATCTTTTCTGTTGTCAAGGAAATAGGAGCCAACTTTTAATGACAATTTAAGTGAATCGTCCAACTAAATGCACACAAGTATGGCACCATGGTACCCACGCTGCTATCGTAGTAATCTAAATCGGGCAGATTCACCTGGATCACCGTGTATGAAGTAAAGATGCCATACATCCGAAAAGACAGGTGACCCAACTGGACCGAACCCATTTGTAAACTGGATAAACATCGGCATCTCAAGCTGCGGAGTTGCACATATTAAGAAAACCAATCCGAAAGGCAATGGTAGCGACAATCAATGCGTTGACCGGGTAGGATGATTGAGAACTTAGGATGGTTTGCCATGGTATTGGAATGGGACACAAGTTGATAACTCAGTAGGATCGTGGTATTGAACGGTTTCCAAAGTGTTTAAAAAGGACGAAACAATGACATGGGATGGACTGGAGAGCCAAACAACTGGAACGGTTCTCAAGAAACGCAAACTTCTGCAGATTGTGCATTAGCCATTTGCTATTTGAGGTACCTCTCTCAGTTAGCTCCACGCCGAGGTAATTGACCATCTACGGAACTCCGATAAAGAAGAATAGGGAACCGGGCCAACTCCCTTCTACGAAAAACCGTTGGTGCCTTGAGTAGACCACATTGTATTCTGGGGTTCTACAGGTTCTGGAAGAAAGAGAACCATTAAACATACTGCTGCCTTCTGATACAACGTTGCGCAGCAGCAGTCCATGGAGACTCATCGATGGGTCCTGCCCTATGTGTACTTAGGCGGGAGAACGGTGGAGTCAAATTGAGAAATGCCTGATTGGTGTTCTCAAAAATGCTGATGCGTATCAGTCCACATAATTAATTGGGAGACAGTAAGCCGTCTACTTGAACGTAGTCCAATGAAAGAAGAAGAATAAGAGGACAGTTGGTAAAGTCAGTTAGCAACTATCAATCGAATTCGGCAGACCTGATACTTCAAACAAAGGAGACCAAACTCGAATGGTAACACCAGAGGTCGGGGATGTGGTGTCAGATAGGCGATTCGGCCGACTTTGTGGACTAAGTTGTTGAGGAGTTCATGCAACGAAATTGACAAAGATTGACCTAATCTTACACCTTAAGATAAGGCCGAAAGATTCATCTACTTTTAACATAGTTACCCAATTTTAAGAACTGTTCGACTTTGCCATATTCAACTCATTGTCCACATTAACGGGTACTTGCCAATATCCAGGCACAAATATTGCTTCCATTCGGGTAGTCCAAGTCATATTATAGATGGCCGAGTGGAGTTCGATATAGTTGCCGACTCGGCTGCCGTAGTATTAGAATGTGGTGCTAATGTCTTATAAGCAAAGTCATGAACTACTCAGCTACAGCAACTCCACGCAATGCTCTCACTATCCTTTAGGAGTGTGATAAATGACATTCCTAGCCAGGGGTAATGGGATTGCTCTAAGCGAATGTGGGCGGAAAGACAAGAGAAAAGTGAATCCCGGTGAGTAATTGGAAAATAAAAGCTTCCTGATGTAAACCGCAAACCTATTCTATTTGGATAAACAGGTGGAAGTGACCTAAGGTATGCTGCTTCATTACGTCATACCAGTTGGCAGCGAACACCCCTTCATTCCTATCTTAAAGGAGATACCATCTCTAGATTTTTTCCCCGCAGCAGCGAATTTGGTCACGTGCTGTTCACCCGAGCGCAGCCGCTTTCCATTGTTCTCGAACGATGTCACGTGACAGGCCGCTAGTTGGTAAAGTCTGTTGTAGCGGTCTGTGTTCTGTCGCACACCGCTCTGTTTCCTGACGGTGACCGGTGCCATGTACTCGAGGCGAGGGACAATGACCGGACATGCAAAGGTTTGCATAATTCACCGATCCACAAAAGTACAATGGATAGCACTAGTTTTGAGAAAATTAAGACGGAATAATGGTGCAGACACACTGGGGCAGCTATGTTGTGCGCGAAATCTCCATGACTACGAGCGACGCATATTCAAGCACCCCAGTACGTTGGTCAAATTATGCTGCAAAGAACTGAAAAAATTCAAATAAAGCAGTTGTGAAGTGACGTTCTAGAGGTGACATGTTTATCTTCGGTTGCGTTGCGGAAAGGGGATCAACTAGGTGGTTTGACATCACGAAGTGGTTGATGATGATTGCGTTTAACGAAGACAGCAAGCCGCAACTGTATAAGTCGCAGTAACAGCCAAGTAGCACACCGATGGTGAATTGTTCCAACACCGAGCGGACTGCTGATGCGCATCAATGAAAATATAAAAAGTGCACCCAGTTACGTCATTAGATGACAGTATGAATAAACAATACGGGGCAACACTTTCATGAATAATGAAATGGACGTTTACCCTGTGTCTCCATACACGGAAGGGATTTAAAAATCCGTGGACAACCAAGTACAAGCACTACGTTCTAGTGAAGGACTCTAACTGAACACCAGCTGTAGGGAGGATGAGTAAGTTTGTCGCATGAACCATGGGTGTTATAAAATTAGGAGGGAGGGTGAATTCGCGAAATAACGCTGATTTTCCATGATGCCAGCAACGGTAATTGATAGAGGAGCCATGGTGTACACTACCAAATTAAAGTGATAATAGAAGCAATTGCCGCTGCAGCATATTTCTGCTACTGGTTTGCACACTTTTCCTGAATTGAAGAGAGACGACAAAATGATTCCTCAGGGATAGACCAGCATCCTTTTGCTCTCTTCAGAACAAACGTATCAAACAACTATGCAATGAGCGAAAGGTGAGCATTTATCATGTGCAGGTATACTGGGTTGGCAAGATGATGTCCGGTACACCGCACCGTCTCATATGTCGTTTTCTTCCTCAATTATTACAAGCAGACTTCGGTATCACATTGACTTCCTCACTAACGCTCTCGGTCGACCACACCCAGACTGGCGAGGCACAGACGGGTGGAGATTGACTGAATGATACCGTTTTATTGCTACCGATACTGACAATTAGCCGATCACAGGGAACACGCAACATCTCAAGGTCTGAAGAACACATGGTATCTATGTCTCTTGCTCCCATTGTGATACGTTGAGGCAACCTTTGTTTAAGGACACAAATGCTAAGTTCAGTCAGTTTCAAGACGAGTCCATTTTCCATAGAATGAACACACATGATGAACCTGAGACCATGAAATCTATGTATGTATGT